GTTTGATCAGGATTAATGAGTTATTATAATGCGAACAAACAATAGTTTGATAGTAAACACGGAGGCCCCGCAGTGGTTTTAAACAAAAATACCCAAGAAATACAGTGAGAGCTTAAGAGATAAAGAAAGCAAGTGTTTTGTGCACTTTGTTGCTCCGAGCAAGTTCATTGTTCCTGCTCTGATGTAGCAGTCTCTTAGGAAAACATGAAGTGAGCCGAAATGTTTGTATTTGTCACTTTTTATTTTAAAACTTGTATACTCTTTAAAATGATATAAAACTGTAATGATCTCTCCAAGGTAAACTATGTTTTGTTGCAGGCACCTAACTCGTTCATCATACTCATAGGTTTATGCTTACATCATAACTAATGTTATTTTCTTTGCACCAGCAAAGTGTTAAATTGAATCTTTTATGTAATTTATTGCAACGCAATGTGTATGATTTATTATAGAAACAATAAATGGCACGTTTCTGCTGTTTTATTGATTGAGCTGATCTAACCCTTCTCTAGTTTGAGTGCAACAGAATCAGAAGACAGTAGGGGTTGTACGAAATAGTCGACTAGTCGACTAGTCGACTTCACGGCTCTGTAGTGACTTTTTATGCCTGTCATCAACTAGTCGCTGTCACGTGATAATGACTGACAAGATGCAGTCCTCGGAAAAGACAGCAGGTGATGAGCCCCTGCGCGTCTGGATCGAGGCGGAGGCGATGCGCTGTGCGGTAGTGACACCGGCGGTAAAACGGACATTTAACCAAACTGTGACCTTTTCCCTCTTGCAATTTAACCTTCCCCTCACCCCCATCCCAATCTTAACCAGTTTGTGCATGCAAAGCTCTGATCATTGATGTGCGCTCCAGACATTGCGTCCTGAGCACCGCCAAATCAGGTGTCACCACCTCAAAAACAAATTAAACACGCGATCGTTCATGTCGGCTCATTTCCTTTCATTTTTTCTGTCTGTTATTTGTGCCTGATGCATTTCGCTGCTGCGGAGCGAGGCTCTTCACCTGTTGTCCTCCGGTGAAGCACCCCCAAGATTCCACTATCTCCACTCCGCTCCGCTCCGGCACGAACTCCGCAGCAAAAACGGTCCCGTTGTAGTCGGCCGGCGAGCAGCGAGCACTCCGCTGTTTTAGCGGTCAGTAGATCTTTTAGAACTGCAGTTTAAAGGTCACTCATGAGGTGAATATATATGAACCCAGGTAGCAGTTTCTCTTTAGGATTGAGAGGAGATGCAGGAAGATAATAAACAGGCAGGACAGAAAAATAGTCAAATAAAAACAAGTTTGTTTTTGTACCTGGTGGTTGCAACAAACAGACACCATTGAAGGTAATCAGAAGTGAGGAACAGAAAATGAAATAATTATTTAAATGTTTAGAGCAGCAGGAACTCCGAGAGGCTGCAGGCGCATCAGTGAGTTTGCGGCCGCTGCGCAGGGGGAGGGGGGAGAGGACTGAAGTAGGAAGCAGAAACTACCGTTGTTAAAAGAAATGTGTTAACTTAGAAAATGTGGGCGCAATTTTAATTGTCACAAACTCCAGCGAACCTACCGACCCCCCCCCCCCCCCGCTTCCGGCGTATGACGTCATCAACGACTAGTCGAAGTCGACTCGACTTTCATTACTTGACTGTCGACTTTTAAAAAAATCAAGTCGTGCAGGCCCTAGAAGACAGTGAGTTTTATAAAACTGTAACCTGTTGGTTTATGTTAGCTCGGCTGAGAAATGGGTCAAAGAATGTTCTGTGATGTGCTGCAATGCATTACTCTAAACACACCTTCTAGTACGGGAAATAATTGAGAAAATCCAGTTACCTTTTTTTGTCTTTTTGTTCTATTTGACAAAACCTCATAGCTTATGGAATAGAAATAATTTACAATTTCAGGATAATGAGGGTTTGGATTTGCAATTTATAAACAGTATTTACATTTCAGCTGAGACCAGGTGATAAAAAACAATAATCATTGCCTCTCCTCAACACAATGTCCAATACATTGCATAAACAAAACAAATGTGTTTATTTTTCATATTGAATTGATTTCTTTAATAGTATACCCGAAAGAGCCCAAATGTAGAACCACATAAATTGCAACTTCATGTTCAGAAATATTTAACCCAAATATATGAAAACAATGTTATAGAGTTGCTCTTTTCAGATCGTTGATCATTCAAATTATAATATCCACACTTCAAATCTCTCGGGATGCGAATCAGCTCCTCTCAATTTACCAGTTGATCTACATTCCTACCCTCATCTATGATCACGAGCTTTGGGAAGTGACTGAAAGAACGTGGTCACAGATACAAGTGGCCGAAATTAGTTTTCTCCGTAGGGTGGCTTAGAGACAGGGTGAGAAGCTCGGTCATATGGGAGGGGTTTGAATTAGACCCACTGCTCCTCGGTGCCGAGAGGAGCCATTTGAGGTGGCTCGAGCATCTGGTCAGGATGTCTCCTGGATGCCTCCCTGGTGAGGTTTTCAAGGCACATCCAACTGAGAGGAGACCCAAGGGAAGACCCAGGACGAGCTGGAAGGGCTATGTTTCTCGGCTGGTCAGGGAACGCCTTAGGATTCGCCCGGACGAGCTGGCCTAATTATGGGGAGAGGGAAGTCTGGACATCTTGATTTAGGTAGCTGTCCCCTTGACTCCGGATAAGCGGCTGAAAATGGATGGATGGACACTTCAAATTGGTTTTCTCAGAACTTTCACCCAATTAGGTAAACTGTCACTGACCTGAAGTTCATAATCCTGCTGATGAACCACCAACAATTAAACCATTTGTGGTTCTCATCAGCAACAGTATTGTTTGTATTGTGTGTATTTGAAATGCTTTGAAAGCTGTTCAAATCATGTGCATCTCGCAAGGCCCAATTCCTCCCACACATCAGGATGACCAGCTGGTGCACCCATCAGGTGCATTGAAGTGCTAACACGCACACACACACACACACACACACACACACACACACACACACACACACACACACACACACACACACACACACACACACACACACACACACACACACACACACTTGAAATTGCTTGATGGCTGATGTTTGTTTAACATCATGAGGTGTGTTGTTCACCTCAAGGAAAAATAGAACCGTCTGTTTAGTTTTGATATTGATTCTACTTCCTCTCTCTCTTTCAACACATCCCTGTCTCTCTCTTTGCTAATTGGCTCTCCAAAAAGTTCTTTCTTTCTTTCATTTATTTCTCTGGGATGAGGCCAAACTAGTATTGATGTAGTTAGTGAAAATTATTCTGATGGTCTAAAATAACTAACAATCCAAGGAAAATTACCCCAAAGTTCACTTGTTCTTTTCAATAAATTTGCTCTGGTCTTTTGGTTAAAGGTAAAGGTGTGGTTGACTGAAAAAAACATGCATGGACCAAAAAGTGTTATTTGTACAACTTGTGACTTTTACAAATAAACTTAGAGACAATTGTTTTACTCACATTGTATGTTTTTGTGCTTATGTCCCCAAAACAGGCTCAGAGGAGAAAACTGAACAAAAGACACAAGCTGCCTGTCCACCAGCTATTGCACGCCACCTGGGTGAGCGTCACATGAACTCGGGCACCTGTTTTCAGACACTCGAAGCTTAAACCTTCTTCCACCTACATTGACTTTGTAGAACATATCTTTTTCAGTTTTCTTTGTTTAAGATTTGCATGTTTGCTGAAACACTGAGGGTGTGGTATGAAACTGAATTTCAGGGTAAAAGAGTAAACAAAAGAGATAATATTGAACTTTAAAAACTGCATCATTCATTTATGTCAAGACTGATTACCACATAATAAAATAAGGTAAAAATGCAAATCAGTGATCATACCACAACCACATTTTACTTGATGAGGTCCATTATCTTTAGACTTTAGAAGACAGATGTGGGTCACAGCAGTAAAATGATTTTTCTGCTTCAGCATCAGCTGCAGCCTCACAACCAGACCAGTCTGATGATTGCAGCACCCCGGTCTCCTCTGCATCAGGTAGCTGAATGCACATGTGCATATACTATATGGTTTGTTTAAGCCATACTAACGTCTGATGTTTTCCCCACAGGTCCTGCATCTTTGAAGCCTCCACTATCAGTTCCTCCAGAGTTACTTGCCCTCAAATTTCCATTGAGGAAAACCACACCACCCTTAAGACTGAAGTCGGTATCGGGCCTTGGTGAGTGTGTAAAAAAAAAAGAATAATCATATTTAATTTATATTTTATTATACTTATAAGGTTACTTGTGTGGTTATGCAGCACTCCTTCCGGGAACGCCTGCAGCATCTTCAGCTTCCTCAGCATCACCTGCAGTTTCTGGTCAGTCAGTGTTAGGCCACCCCACCACACCTGCTCCTCCTTCAGCAGTCTCTGCAGCGAGAGATCCACCAGCTTAGTCTCATAGACCTGCTGTCCCACCGATGCCCAGCTACGAACAGGATATGAGCCGATGGAACTGCTCTCACCAGCAAAGGATTTGGATGAAGACGGAGATGGAATCCCTGGGTCTGTGGCCTGGATCTCGACCGGTGAGACACCCAATGAACATGATCTCATTGTGGCGTAACCCCCCTCAGCCAGAGCTCATCGACTCCATCTATGAACTGCCATCACCCAAATATTTTCAGCTGCATCCATTTTTCATCTGGAAACCAGAGCATGCCATCATGGAAAGAGTGCGTAACAACTACTCACTTCCATGCCTCTACAACTGCTCAAACCCCCACGTGGTCTCGTCAGGAGTTGGTCGGCCTCGTGTTGTCCTTGGAGCAAGTGGGCAGTACTACATCCTGGCCTCACGCCTCAGCTGTAGAGTCTGCAAGAAGTTCTGGTTTGCAGATAAACCTCAATGGGTCAACATGCTGCCAAATAGATTCTGCAGCATTTTTCCAGCATTTCTGACCCACAAGAAAGGCATATGCAGGACCGTGATGGATGAGCTGCGGCGGTCAGGAAAGTCTCCAAATGACATGGCCAACCAGCTAAATTAAGTTCTCCATCTTAAGTATGAGCGTACTCACCTGGCATACCTCTCCTCTGTTAAAAACATAATGGATGGAGACTGTGGACTGTATGGCCAGCGGACCATCACTGCAACTCTGAGGACAACTGCTGCTCCTGCTGCTTTTGGGATGTACGGTGATGTTGATGGCTGGCATGGAGTAGCTGTTGAAGCTCATTACCTGGTTGACTGTCTCATTCAGGAGTACAGAAGGCAGAAGGACTCGCTGAATCTGCTTCTTCAGGGTACCTTTGGGCAGGTCTTCAGAGCTGACCACACCCGTAAGGTGGCACGGAAAGTGGTCCTCTCATCAGGCACCATGTCATCATATGCCGTCATGAATGAGAACTGGATGATCCTGTCCTGGGTGATGCTGCAGTCTGAATCAGACAAATCGCTGGAGCCAATGTACGAGGGGCTGTCCTGCCGTTACATTTCTGCAGGACAGCCTAAAGCCACGCATAAGTGGGTTGACAGGTAAGGTCAAACATCATTGTTCCCTTTGCCTTGCTTATTTTTTATTGTTCATACATTAAAACAAGGTATAAATTATAGTGTAAAATATATTTGTGTACAACTAGTATTTCATTACTTTATTTATATTTGCAGAGATTGCTGCGCTGCATTCCGCATCCCAAATCCTGGACATCAGGAACACCTGCTCTGGGATTCTTGGAAGACCACGGATGACATAATAGCTGAGGCAACTTCTGGGAAACTCAACAACACCTGTGCTTCTCGCCAAAGCTATAACAGTAAAATCAACATTAAGCTGGATTTATTTCATTGTAGGCGGCGTTTCACCAGAGAGTGCACATCTGAACATCATCCACTGCACAGCGCTTTCTGCAAGTTTCTCTCTGCAGCCTTCTGTGTTGTTGACCAGACAGACCTGCGTCGACTGAGGCAAGCCTATGTCTTCTGTGGCATAATGCCACCAAATCCAACTAAGCAGCATATCAGGCAGCACTGTCGTACCAAGATCCCACAGCCCAGAGAGTTGCTGGTGAGAGTAGAGAGTGTTCTGCAGAAGTTCTTCTCAGAAAGTGACCCTGACGGAGTGCCGGTTTTTAAACCGAGCATGCTGAAAGTGTGGAGGATTCAGCGTGTCCACATTCTCCGGGGCTGTCTGAGTGATCCAGAGGTTGGTGAGGGAGTCCTCTACAGACATGGTGGCATGGTCCAACTTAACCATGTGAAGGGGGAGGAGGCAGCTGTACCTGTCTGGATCCCTGTGCGAGGCACCTCTCAGCAGGAGGGTTTTCATTTTCATCAGTCCAAGTGGGTCACAGGAACTCAGGTCTCCACAGAGCTTTTCCAGGCGCAGGGAATGATTGGAGTGGCTCGCTGGAATTTTCAACGCCTTCTGGACCTGAAGCAGCCTGATGTTCAGCTCCCTTTGGTTTTCGATCCAGCTTTGGTGTCGGAGCTGAACAAACTTTCAGAGGAAGTCACGGGAAAAGCCAGGTATCCTGCCCTGTGTGTTTCCAATGCAGACACTGGAGAACGGTTTGGACTGCAGTATTTGGAGCCCGGCTGTCAACCCGTCCCTCTGGACTGGAATAAGCACAGGGCACAGAACACTCCAGCTTCTCCCACCTCAGAGCCAACCCCTCCCTTTGTGACAGCTACTGACCTACTTGAGGAGGTGAAGGTGGAGCTCTTTGCTCAGATAACCATGATCCTTGCTTTAGTTCTGACACATTTCAAATAACAACATTCAAATGATCATCAACCAACTACATTGCTCGTTTCAGGACGACACTGCTGGTGTAACTGCGCTCGGCACACAGACCACAGCCCAGCCCAGCCCAAACAAAGGTAATTCACGTCACCTTTTCATCCTCCTCCTATATTTACTTTTGGCTTTATATTCCAACACAAATTAATACATTTTCTTCTTGGTTTTCTCATTTTCTCTCCATCAAATGTCCCAGTAGTACCTATCCTCGTGCTGCTCGCACAGGTCCCATCAAAACTGGTGGTGTGCTGTTTGCCTTGGACCATTCTCGGTGGACACAGCCAATGAGGCAAACCATTGACCAGATCATGGCAAAGCATCGTGGGCAAAAAGACTTTCTTACTAAAGTCGCTGCAGAGTATGCCGTTCTGGTTCAAGCTGCATCCAGAGACCCCAACAGCCTCCTGCATCCCACCACTAAACAGCATCTCTCACGCTACATAAAGCACCTGGCTAAGATGACAAACACAAGCTCATCACTCAACACCAGTTCAGAGACACTTTTGGAGACCCAACGGCTGTGGCATAACCTCACAGAAGGCAGTGAGACTGTTGCTGTTCCTGTGGTAACCATTCCCCCTGCCACTGTCAACCCACCCAGAATTAAGACACAGGACCCCCCTCTGACAAAAACAGAAATTGAGAAAATGGTAAAAGACATTGTCCAAAAGCACCAGGAACAACAACAACAACAACCTGCAAAAAAAAGAACAAGAAACTGTGTTGCATGTGGCCAGCCGAAGTCACGTTTCAGGGGGGATCGATCCAGTGTTCACTTCTTTTACCAGTCAGGAGAGGTTAAATACTTTTATTGCTCCGTTAAAGTCCACAGACCTATGCACCAGAGGGTCTGACAGATCCACGGATGCCATTTGTTGATTTTGCCAACTCAACTTTTTTTATGAGAGAGCTTGAGGCTGCAAAGCTGCGCTCCACAGAAGCAAAGCAGGTTATGGAGGAACGAAAAAAGAGGAAGGCAAAAGAGGAGCATCCCACTGGAAGGCTATGCAGGTTCTGCCACAAGCCAATCAAACAAGGCCGAGACAGTCCTCATGTCCACACCGGGTTTCCTGGTGTAACAGGGAAATACATCTACTGTCCCAGTAAAGTCTTCTCTCTGTACAAAGTAGAAGGAATGACGGAGGAAATGACATGGAGACAGTTCTGTCAGTCTTCCTTTTATGAGACAGAAAAGAAAAGATGGGCAGCAGAAAAACAGAAGTGATTGTTGATTTGCTGGCCACAGCTTTGTGATGTTTAATACTGTAAATAAGGTAAACATGTTGTTATCGTGCAATACTGTTTTCTGATGGTTAATGATGCATGCCTGGATGTTTACTCTTCTCAAGGTCCTTGTTTTAACCCTCCCACTGTCCTAATGGGTGACCCTTTGAGGAAAGTTGACCATTGAGCAGGGTTGATGGTTTATCCCTTGGGTCCACGTGGCAGCGATGAGGAGTGAGCACCACCTCACCCCTGCCACGTGGACCCAAGGGATAAACCATCAACCCTGCTCAATGGTCAACTTTCCTCGAGGGGTCACCCATTAGGACAGTGGGAGGGTTAAAGAAAGTTACATTTCTTCCATTTAAAGTGTCCAGCACTTTTTGTAAATAGCTAAAATTTTGGAGATGGATCATTCTTTCTTTAAATGTATTGCTACTATTCAAATTCCTAGATTGTTTATAAAAAATGTTTTTAAGATTTGAAATATAATAAAGATGATTGAAAAGAACCCAGACTGTATTTACATCTGAAGTATTAATTCATTTATATAGATACACACACACACACATACACACATATACACACACACGCGTATACACAGACACATACACACACACATGTATATATCTTTCCTGCTCACAATAAAAAGAACCCAGACTGTATTTACATCTGAAGTATTAATTCATTTATATAGATATACGTATATATACACACACACTCAGGTTCAACTTACAACACGACTTACAGTTAAATTGAGTTCCAACAAGATGCCGTATCAAAATACAATAAGCTTCCATTCCAAACATGTAGAGACCTTAGTGACAATGAGTAAAACGAGTAGAAGTAACAATTCTGAAAAGAAAATGAAGGTTGCACATTTTACTGTGCCATGTATGATACATGCATGCCATACAGGTTAGCGTGTCCTGGTTGGTAGGCCAGTGGTAGCATTCAACAGCTGCCACGCAGAAGACCTGGGGTTAAATTCCAGCAGTTGAAGTGATGGTCAAGTGCAAAGTGTTTTTGTGAGAATTGGACATTTTGTTCAATGCATCAAGCTAAAGTTGACTGCGGTATCCCCGTCGGGGAATCAACCCCAGTATCCCGCGTGACAGGCGGGGATACTGTCCACTATACTAACGAGGAACAATGAATGGAGTCGAATGCCTTTTCAAAGTCAACAAAGTGGATGTACAATGTTGCGTTCCATTCATTGACCTGTTCCAAGATATTCCTAAGAATGAACATCTGGTCTACAGCTCCTCTTCCTTTCCTAAAGCCAGCTTGTTCTTTCCTCAGTGATGGATCAACTCCTGTTTGAATTCTGTTGATCAGGATCTCACTAAGCACCTTGCTGGCCAAAGTCAACAGCGTAACTCCTCTCCAGTTCCCGCATTCCTGAAGGTTGCCTTTCTTAGGGATTTTGCAGATGAGCCCTTTGGTCCATTGGGTTGGCACTATTTCTTTTGCCCAAATGATGTCAAGGATTCATTTTAACTCTAAGCTGGTTCGTTCGATGTCTACTTTCAACATTTCAGCTGAAATTTGGTCTATACCAGGGGCTTTTCCGTTTTTAAGGGCCTTCAATGCAGTCTTGATCTCTTCCATTGTTGGAGCTTTAGTTGGAATATCCAGCTCATCCTGTTCCTCCTCCTCCTTTTGTCGTGGTTCTTCTGGTTGCTCCCTGTTGAGCACTTCCTTAAAGTGTTCCTTCCACCTCATTAGTCTGGCTTCCTTATTCTTCAGCAGCTCCCCGTTCTTGCTCCTGACCGCTGCTGCCTGCCTGGTGTTCTGACCTGTTAGTTGTCTCACAATGTTATACAGTTCTTTCTGCCATCCTTTCTCCGCTGCCTTTTGAGCTCTCTCTGCCTTCTCTGACATCCACATCCTCTTGTCCTCTCTGACACTTTTTTTCACTTCTCTGTCCTTCTCCCTGTACTCATTCCTCAATTTATTCTTGATTCGTTCTGAGCGGGTACTGTCAGTCTTTGTCTTGATAGTTTTTCTCTCATCGATCAGTTTCCAGGTGTTATTGCTGATCCACGGCTTGTTCTTTCTTTTCCTGAAGCCGAGCACTTCTTCTGCTGACCAAATGTAGGTGTTCTTTAGCTGCTCCCACATTTCCTCTATATCCTCACTTTCTCTCTTGTTCTCCTCCAGCCTACTCTTCACTGCTTCGCAGTATTTCTTTCTTGTCTCTTCATCTCCAAGGCGTTCCACGTCTATTTTCTGCTTGATATTGTTGACCTATTGAGCCGTAATTTGATGTGCGTCCTAACCAGGTAGTGGTCACTGCCGATATCAGCTCCCCTTTGTGCTCATGATTCTAGGACGGAAGATCTCCATTGGCCACTTATCAGACGATAGCCAATCTGATTTCTTACACTGTCATCCGCAGATACCCATGTTGCCTTGTGGATGTCTTTAAGGGGGAATAGTGTACCTGTGATAACAAGCCCATTTATCTGGCAGAACTCACATAATCATACTCCATTGTCATTCTGAATCCCCAATCCATGTACCCCCATTGATCTTTCATACCCACTGTTGTCACTTCCAACTTTAGCATTGAGGTCTCCCATGATGATGATGATGTCATTCCTGTTGCAACCATCCAATGCTTCCTGTAGTTCCTGGTAGAACTGTTCTTTCTCCTCATCTTCCTTCTCATTATGTGGGGCGTACACTTGAATGATGGTTACTCTCCTGTATCTTGAGTAGAATCTTGCTGTTATGATTCTCTTGTTGATGGGTGTCCATTCCATGAGTGACTTCTCAGCTTGTTGACTCAACATGATGCCAACACCACCCTCATGCAGTTCCTCATCCCCACTGTATAACATTGTCTGTCCTGAAGCCATCCTCACCCTGCCCGCTCCCATCCATCTGCACTCTCTGATTCCAAGTACATCCAGCTGGTATCCCTCCATCTCTCTCGCAATCTGCGCCGCCGCTCCACCTCTATACATAGTTCTCACATTCCAATGTCCGATGGTGAGAACATTTTTGGGTGTCACAAGAGATCTTGTCGGACGCTGGACTTCCCTAAGGCTTTGACCCACCATCGTCATGATGCCGGTCATGATCCCTGCTCCACCCTGGTTGTTTTACAATATGATGTCTGTTGTTTCTGTAACAGGTTTGTTTTTCCAGGAGTAGGTTGTTAACCTTCTGCCCAACCCCCATGCTTGGAGGACCAGTGGTTTTCTGTTGGAGTGTCCTTCCCCTAGACTGCGTTGGTCCACGTCACCTTGAAGGTGTACCCCCCATCCGCCATCCGGGGGACGCACCTCATACGCCGTGCAGTCCCAGCGCGAGGACTTTAGCACCCTGGTTGAAATCTTTTTCTGTGAATCTTTGGTTATCAATAGTCAAAAAAATCTTGCTTTCGGAAATACTGTAATGCTAAAATATAGGGATTTCTGCCTTTACGCATCACTTAATCTGGTTTTATATTTAATTGATCAACCCTAAGTCTTTCCAAAAGTTTAGATGGAATATTTGACCATTCTTCCAGAAAGGCCTTTGGCATGTAGTAAATAAGTATGAACAATTTTATTTATATAACATTTCCTACAGAAAGAAAAATCACAAAGTGCTTCACAAAGAACAACAAAACAAAGCATAAAGTCATAAAATTATCATGAAACAAAACAAAACATCATAAAACAAACAAAAGATAGTTCAAATCAGAAAAAGTCTGCACATAAGAAGAAAACACAAAGGATTTAAGTAAAAGCTGTTTTTAATAAAAGGGTCTTCAGCTGATTTTTACAGTGATGTCAGGCAAGAAGGCCTAATTCATTCCAAAGGTGTCCTATCAGGTTGAGCTATAGCCAATCAATTTCCTCCAAATCAAACTTTCCCATCGATATGTCTTTCCTGAAATTCCCAATTGCATTTATTTGGCAGGGTGTCCCAATATTTTGGCTATACAGTGTATCTGCAGAATAAGATATCTTTATTGTATGATATTCCAGGGGACACAGTGAGCTAGAAACAAGGTTATACACAGAAAGCCCAGACGGCACCTGTGTCCACTTGACGATGCACATGATGGGTCATTGCATAGGAAATGTACATTCTCAAGTTAAAACCGTTAGGACATGTCTATAAAGCTGCAAAGAGAATTGCGCATTCAGGTCATTTATAAGTAAAAGACTGCGATGTAGAAACTTGAAAATGGCTGGCAAAAAGGGAAGTCTACAGGGTAAGATGTTTACGATAAAACAAAGTGGTGAAAAGAAACTCAGAAAGATCAGGACAAAAAGAAAACTTGTATGAAATCCTGAAGAAAGACTGCATCACAGTAGGGTACTGTATAGGAGCGCCTATGCAGGAAGAGCAAGCAGGCAGGAAGTTACAGACTTGCAAAAGGAGAAGAAAAGTCAGATTTCTTTGAAATCCTCTTGTAAACAAGGTCTTGGCTAATGTCTTCTATAGAGTTTATTCTGTGTGTGCTACAAGCGCCTGCTGGGTGCTGATGCGGTAGTGCATTTTTTAAGAGTTCAGTCAACACAGATGAAAAAAACAAACAAATATGTTGATAATTCACTACTTGACAGCAGTTGCGTTGCTTAGATCTCAGCTGCATACATCTTTTCTCTGTGAAGCTTGTGTTTTCTGACATGTTTAGATATTTTTGCATTTCTCAAAATTGAAATAAACAGTTGTTCAAAAAGAAATATGAGTATGCACACGTGATTGTTGGTGGCTCCATTGGATCTGGTTTTTGCAATCTGTTCAAGGTAACCTTATTTAGCATAATTCCTCATTTTTTAATCAAGGAAGGAAAAATCTTACCATATTTGCATCACATTACTATAGGAACCCTTCATTTCAATCTTGACAGGCACCCACTGCTGATGGGCATCAATCATGAGAGCACAGCCTTTTCCTAAAGAGAACTTGTAATGCATATTGATCTATAATGCATGCAGCTGGCAGGACAAGTGCAGAGCTGGATTCAGAAAACAGGGGTGACGATAGAATTAGTCTCCTCGATGGCTTTGCTTTGCATACAGGCTGCAGTCTCGGCCGCTCACAGAGAACATACCTGCTGCTGCTGTATGTAGTTAAATGGGAACATTTAGGCTGCGCTGCATAATGGAACAGTGGCTGCTTGAACTGATTTCTTGCAATATTGATAGAATGCAAAAGCTCTGGTGCTAAAGTGGGACCAGGGGGAAGGAGAGCTGATGATAGGACTGCAGCTGTGAAGGAGTTTTCAACTCACAGGCATACGCGTTCACACGCTGACACTTCATTCAGTGAACAAGAAGGAACCCAGCACAAAAAGACAACTGTTTGAAAACTGCATTGTTGCATTTTATTTTTGATCATGCAATAAAAGCATCAGGGTCAAAGTTTTGTGTATTCATAATAATATAAAGAAAGCCATTTGAGCTTTGTTATGCATTTTGCAGATGTCCATAGGGATGGGTACCTTAGACATTTGAATCGATCCGGTACTAATTCCCGGTACCTACGAATCGATACCGGTACTTAACGGTACCAATTTTCCATACTTTTGAGTGTTTAATATTTTTTATTCTCTTTTATAATTAAATATACATTTTTTCTCAATATATAACCATATTTGATAAATATCACGATAAATAACATACAACTGTTTGTATTTTAACATCGTCCTTGTAGTTTTACAAAATGATAATTAAACTAAAGCAAACATCTTTGCTGTGAACTAAATTTACTGTGTCTCTTCATTCCTTTTACCGTCCTTTTTCAATAGATTTTTCCTACTGGGAAGTTAGAATTTCCGAGGAGAAAGCGAACGCACCATTAGATGATAACAATGGTGGCATAGGAAGCTAGCATATCAAGCTAACGTTATCATAAACAGTTTATTTAACTGCTGGAGCAGATTAAAACGATGATGCCTCACACTTAAATCGTTGTCACTGCTTTCATCTTCACCCAATCACCCGTCGCATTTAGTAAAGAGAAGCCAAACTTTAGAGCGCGTTCGTGTTCTTCTAGTCGGAATTTCGGAGTTCCGAGGAGAAAGCGAACGCACCATTAGTGAAACGGAAGCTAACAAATCAAGCTAACGTTATCTTAAACATTTTATTTACCTACCGGAGCTGCTCTGTTTACAACTCGCTTGCAGCGACCGATGACATAACGCTCTTGCGCATGTGCAGCTGTCTAGCCAAGTTCTCGTTGTGAAGGACTTTACCGAAACGAGGCACTGTTTCAAATGAAGTGAATCGATGCTCGGTCGGTACTGTGGAATTTGGTTGGTACCTTAAAAAGTACCGAATTCGGTACCCATTACTAGATGTCCACATATTACATCTGAACATTTTTAAGAAATAAAACACCAACTAGCCCTGCTCACTGTGATGAATTAGAAATTTGCGCATCTAAAATCCTTGTTGATTACAAGTAATTGGTATAATAAGTGAAAGGCTCCCCAATATGCACAATCGATGTTGGTGGTCCATCCTTAACTCATTCACTGCTAGCCATTTCCTGATCAGAAAAGCCCTTCGCTGCCAGCTTTTTTCATAATCTGTTGTCGAATTGTGATTGGCAGAAGATTTTCCGGTTCGCGCCTTACTTTTTTTTTTACAGCAGGGCCCAAAAACGCTCTCTTAACACATGGATTTTCTGCTTCCTGATCACGTGACGTGTGACGTACGTAGATGCAGACCGGCTTTAGAGCTGGGATGTTTGTTCTCACGGTGCAGGGGCTTGTTCCGATGCCCACACATTAAAAAAATGCAAATGACAACTTTAGTCATCAATGGTAGTGAATGAGCTAAAAGTCAACATTTCAAACCTAAGTTCATTAGGACAAATTTGACCCCGTTATGAAAATGATTGGTTTTGATCATGTTCTTGAGCTTGTTCTGAGCACACACCTTTCTAACCTTAAGTCAAAGAAATAAAGAAAAATCAAGAAGCAAAAAAAGGATGCAGATATTCCAAGGTTTTCTGTGGAGTCGTTTGGATTTTTCATTGCAATCCTGATGCAATCCTTTCAGTAGCAGAAGAACAAACTCACTTGTGATGTTAAAATCCTCTTGAACTCAAACTCTCCCATCTGTGCCTGCACCTACAGGTGTTACTTCACTGTCTTTTGTTCTGTTCCAATAGTAATGGTTGGCTATTCAAACGTGTGTCTCATATTTATACATTTGAACCTATTTCCTTTGAATTTCCTGACAATGGACTTTGTGGTACATTCTTCCTAATTTGCAAAACAGAATATATTTCAAAGAATTTATGAGATCTTGTTGCACAAATTAAGAATGTCATGACTGATATGGAGAGAATAATACATGCTCAACAGCTAGAACCGAAAGCACCAAAGGAGAACATTAATCTGTCAAACACAAAGCAACTGTTAGCTTAACAGTGAAGATTCAGATGTGAGGAAGCGCTATGTTTGTGGCTATCGTAAATATATTCCTTAACATTTGTGCCAAACAGAATAACACAGAATTATAATGTTTTAGTTAGTTTGTCAAACTTGAACTGTGAAAGAACGGTTGAGTTCTGACAGGACTAAAAATAAGTGAAAAGTGCTATTTGAAGAGATGACAGTAAAACAAGCAGGACAAGATGTTTTAGACAGAGCAGTGAGGTCTAATCTGAGAGAAAAGTGTTTTCAAGGCAGAAAAAAAGGAGAGGCTTGAGTCAAATATAAGCGGTCTGTTTTGTGGTGCTGCAAAGGCATTAATCTGATGCAAGGCCGTGTAATGTGGATATCCACCCACGTATGAACACACAGACCTATAAATTATTTACTCGTGTCCGTATCTTTGGCAAAACATCAAACCTAAAGATCACAGGAGGAAATGTTTATAAAATGCAGCAGCGTTGGAAAAGCCGGTGACATGTGTCAATATGTGTTTAATGAACACACACGCCGCAGCAAGCTGCCACTGCCCAGCAAGCTGCCACTGCCCAGCAGTTCAACAATCAGTCCGTTCCCCATCCAAGGGACATGCCGATAATAATCGATGACAAACTGTCTGTGACAATCAGGTGTTTAGGTCCCAGGCTGCCATTTAGAGTCTCCGTGTCACTTTGTAGGTAAATCCCTTTAAGTCAC